ATAGATAGATAGATAGATAGATAGATAGATAGATAGATAGATAGATAGATAGATAGATAATGTATATATATAAACCTATATAGCCTTTCTTGCTGCATATATATGGCCCAGCCAAGGGTTTCTCTGCATGGAGTTTGCATGTTCTCCCTATGCATGCATGGGTTCTCTCCGGGTACTCTGGCTTCCTCTCACAGTGCAAAAACATGACTGTTAGCTTAATTGGCGACTTTAAATTCTTCTTAGTTATGAGTGTGTGTGAATGGTTGTTTGTCTCTGTGTTGCCCTGCAATAGACTGGCGATTTGTCCAGGGTGTCCCCCGCCTCTTGCTGAGCTACAGTAAGTGCAAACCACAGCTGCACTGCTAATGTTATAGATAAGTTTGTTTCTATTATGACCAGAGTAAGAAAACCACAATGGCTGCTTTCAGTCTGCTCTCAAACTGGCATTGATTCCAAAACAGGCATAACATCTGTACCACTGGCTGCATATGTGTGTCGCTAACTCTCACCGTCGCTCTTTGATGTCTCTGAATATATAGATGTAATTGTACATGTGCTTAAAACATAATCCATCTTCTTATCAACTCAGCCTCTTGACCATGTTAATGTGAAGGATTGCAAAGCATGATGCTGCCACTATCATGTTTCACAGGAGAGATAGTGTGTTCAGGGTAATGTGCTGCTGTGTTTTACTGCGCAGCATGTTGCATGTATGTTTAAAGAGTGTTCTCTCTCTAACATGGCATCAAAAACAATAACTGAACTTCATTTAAAGCTAGATCAGGAAAGAACCTTGTCTTTTGTCCCCTTTATCCTTGATCCAGATTCATGTACAGAGGGTTAGGTTTTGGTACACTCATCAACTTCAATGTTAATGAGTGTATAAAAGTTTATATTCTTGTTTGTTTTTTTTTTATCAACCAAAACACATTACAACACCAAGAAACAGCTGAAAGTCAGCACAGAAAATCAAAACAATATTTTCCTTTGTCTGAAAATCTCTCATTGCTCTCCATGCCATGCAGATGTACTGAGGCAGCAATGCAGCTTTTGAAACTTTAAACCCACTCACTGACACACCGCAGACTCTGCTTGTAAAGGCCCCAAATGAAGTCACCACACAGGTCGCACCACGTAGGCTGAGCATGGCTGCAGGGTTGGAAGTTATGCCCCTCTCCCTTCTCTTCTACAAACTCGGGGTCCTGGGAGCTGCTGAGAACCCTGATGATGCCCACGCGGCTCAGGAGGTCGGGCACCTTCCCTGGGCTGATCCTCAAGGCGTTGGTTCTCTCCAGGCGCGGGGGTGAGCATGGCGAACGCAGGCCAGTCAGTTCCATCTGCCCACTGCTAGAGTTCAGGTCACGGAGCTCGATAAACTCCCCCCAAGACATCATGACCGTCGGAAGGGAGCATTAAGCATCATCACTGATGGAAAGAAATGTAGGAGGGGGAAAACTGAAGCAAGGTCTGTAGCAATGCTGCTTTTATCATGAAAAAAATATCTATTTGATTTTTTCCATTTCTTTTTATTGCAAACTGAATCAACTAAATAACCTGTGTTTCAACAGACATCTAACACCCTGATATCTAAAAGACATTCTAACTATAAGGGCTGTCCAGAAAGAAATTCTGCTTTCACACAAAACCAAGGTGTGAACACTCCCTTAGATTCCTGTAAGTATAGTTTTCTTAAGATGAGATCCACATTATGAATAAAGAAGCCTAAACAAGATAAAGCTAATCAGACATCACAATATTATGTGGATACGCTCTACTACTGTAGAAGAGTCTGATCTAATTTTGACTAAAAAACTCCCCAACACACACGGTGGCTTTCCAGTTTGTCTGTTTGGCCTAGCCTTTAAACTGTACTACGTTGTTTGACCATTTTGTCATTCAAATAAAATAAAACAATGTCAAAATAAAATGAGATGAAATAGTAAATATATTAAAAGGTAAGCTCAATTATAGTTGTAGGTCAAAACTAAACAAAGTATTTTTACATTCAGAATCAGAATCAACTTAATTCGGTTTGTTCAAACAAGAATTGACTGTTTTATCAGGAATCGTACTAATTCTGTATTTTCAAAGTCAAATTTAAGTATAAGGAAAAAAACAACAGCAACAACATTGTTATCAATAAATGTAGAGTCCTGCTATAAATTGGAGAGCAACTTTCAGTAGTTCAGTCAAACTTTTCTCTTACATTTTTTCAAGGGCGGTCCTAAACCGGGGCCAACAGGGGCCCATATAATATTGGTCCTGCCCCTTGTTATGGTCCCTCTCTTTAAGACAAAACATTAAATGAACTTCTTATGATGATATGATCGGGCACATAGACGATAACTGACTGGTTGTTTGGACGAATTTAGTTTCTCGTTTAACGCTCAAAAATTTGACCAATCTTCACCCTCGCACCTTTTTAGGTTTTTGTGAGGATGAGTCTGAGAAATGTATTGCAGAGAAGAAGCCATTTGGCAGCTCTGTCATGGAGCTACTAGGATCTGACTAGAGGAGGACACCTTACTTTAACTTTCTGTTCATATTGATGCACAACGATTTTGTGTCAGCTTTGATATCATAACCAGAAGTAAATATTAATATATTTTGGACCCCTAAGAATTTCTAAAACAACTTGTAATGAAAGACAGTGAGCATGGGGTGCTTGTAGGGACTGAAAAGATGTCCGTCTGATGCTCTTCAGTAGGGGATCCAAGTTTAACATTTAAAAGGAGGTCTGAGGCCCTAAAAAAAAAAAGGTTATTAAAAAGCCTTTATTGGTACATGGCTAATTTAATTAGGGCTACAACTATGATAATTTTGCTAATTGATTAATATGTTTATCATTTTTTCGATTAGTTGATTAATAATCGGATAGCCAAAGTCTAATTAAAGAAGATTATTTTCCAAAATTAAACCAGGTGAAACTCAAACTTTTCCACTTTAGGGGTTCTGGATAGAGCACATTGAGAGACGATAAAAACATTTTTTTTTTATCTTAAATGCAAAATGTTTATATTTAATTATACAAATTTAATAAATTTACTAAGTGGGTTGTTCTGTCAGCTAAAAGCATATTTTACAGTTTCTATACTCCAGTTAACGTTTAATCTATCGCCTCATTAGGTGACAATTATTTCAATAATCGATTAACAAATCAAAATTGGTTAAAAAATAAATAAATAAATGGGTCTTTTTTATATAGGATTTCAATTGGAAATTGGAATTAGCTACAAATGAAACAGATAAAATGATACTATTATCTATATTCATAGATTCCATAACCTAGTTATAGTTCAGGACATTTTCTTTCAAGCAATGATCTATTTCTTATCCAAATTTCATGACTGAATCATTAAAATTCTTCTTTTTATTTTTTCTATTTAACAATTAATTTATTACAAAACATCTTTACGCACCTTTACCAGACTTCTAACAAGGGAAGACGATTTTTCTACTTCTGTAAAAGTTGATTAAAATATAAACAGCTACGCATCACAACCTCAGACTAAAAGCAATCATTTTAAATAGTGATATGTTTCATAAAAGTAACAAACTAGATCCTTGTTGTGTTATTCTAGGTTTGCTCCCTTTAAGCGCAGAAGTGTCTGTGGTGTAAACTTACCGGAACAGAGGAGAAAACCACTCCGCTGTGGCCGCTTTGTCTTCTAACTTCTTCCATCAGAGCAGAGCTGAACTTTGCGCACAAACATGGGGCTGTTTCCAGGCTGTGGAGGAGGAGGGCAGCCCGGCGGCGGATAACGGGACGCTGAGAGGAGGGACGGTGACCCTCATCAGCCTCAGCACAACATCTTTTACTTTTTTATCTTTTCCTCGGTCGGCTCAAGCTGCTCAAGAAGGAAGCAGTTGAAAAAAAAGAGAGTGAAAGATGAGATTGAGCTGCACAGACATCCGGTGAAATGTCTTCATGTATAAGGAGGGAGGGGGACAGCTGAGTGGGCGGACAAAGTCCCCAACCCTCCAACCTTCAGTCCCTGCAGAGGTGTAGAGCTGTCATTTGCACCAGCAGCAGAAAAAGATAAGACAAAAAAATAGCAGATGCAAAATAGTCTTATATATTTTCCGAATATTTGCCTATAGTGACATGAAAACCCTTCACACAGAAAACTGCTCAGCAACCAGGGAGAGTAAAGTCTAATGATAACTGGGGGAATGTAAATGAACCAAATTAAGGACATTTCCTGAAGTGTTTTGCAAAAGTTTCCCTTTCTGCTGTGTTTAAGCAAGACAAGAAATAACAAGGCAATGGTTTTCTCACACTCTGCTAAACTACCAGAGATCCCTTTATTTCTTACCGCTGCAGTAGGTCCACAAATTGAGTTTGTGGGTAATTACAAATATCTTGGTTTTACTCTCGATGATGAACTTACTTTAAAAAAAAAAATCACATAGCAAATCTATTACGAACATTGAAAATGAAGATTGGGTTTTATTATCGAAATGGATCGTTTCTGTTTTCTATCATGTTCTTCTTTTGAGTATCCAATTTTGCTTTGCTCCTTGTTTCTTAGTTTTTATGGTTTAATTCTTTGTTTATTGTTTTCTTTGTTTGTTTGTTTTTTCTCAGTTACTGTTCTTGGTTCTGTTATATTTTCTTTTTAGTGTTCAGTTTTGCTTTGCTCCTTGTTTTCTAGTGTTAGTGGTTTAATAATTATTTTGTAGGGTTTTCTAGTTATTTCCAGTCTTCCTGTTTTTTCATTTGTTGCCCGCTGCTGCCCTCCTGTGTTCTCCTTTCTCCATAGCTCCTGTTTTGTTTCTGCTCTGTCTTCACCTGTTCCCAATCTTCTCATTAGCCCTCTCTTTGTCTCTGTCTCCTTTAAAAGCCCTCTCTCTACAGTTCCTCTTTGCTGGGTCCTTGTCTAACCTCTTCAGTCTTCTTCCACTTCGTCTCTCTGAGTCTTCCTCCTTGAGTTTTGATTCCCTGATGTCTCCATGTTTTTCTGGGGGGTTTTTTCTTATTTTTTTTTTTTGTTTTGAATTTTTTTTTTTTTTTTTTTTTTTTGTGGACTCCTGGTTTCATGTTTGTTTTTTGGACCTTGTTTCCATTTTGGATTTTGGATTCTTGGTTGCCTGTTTGTTTGGACTTTGCTTTTTTCCGTTACTCCTTCATTAAACCAACCATGAAATCAACTCTGCCTACCTGCCTCTGCTTTTGGGTCCTCAACCCTCAAACAAATCCTGACAGTTTCTCACTCAAAGCTAGAAGTAAATTGGTAGCAGCAACATTCCTGCCACTTCTGGATTATGGAGATGTCTTATATATGAATACTTCAACCAAATGTCTGAAATCATTAAATACTGTTTATCATTGTGCTTTAAGATTTATAACTGGTAGTAGATGTTTGATACATCATTGTGATTTGTATGCAAAAGCTGATTGGCCCTCTTTAAGTGTTCGGAGAAACAATCATTTGATGATCCTTATATATAAATCTCTCCTTGGACTAACACCAACATACATAAGCTCTCTTTTGCATAGATCTAGTACATTTTTTACGCTCAAATGTCTTTATTCTTCTACATGTTCCTCGTGTTCGAACTGATAAAGAAAAGAAAGCATTCAGTGTGTTTGCTCCTACAGCGTGGAATCAGCTTCAGTCTGAGCTCAAGATGTCAGACACTATTTCATTGGACTTATTTTGAGCGGTTCTTAAAGATAGATAACACGCTTCTATGACACAGTGTCAGTGCTCTAAATAGTTTTTATTGTTTTATATTTGTGCATATGTATTAATTGGTTTTAATTTTGTAACCAGGTTGCAGTGTATTGCAGATCTCTGCCCATGTCGCTCTTGAAAAGTAGATCCAGATCTCAACAGGGTTTACCTGGTTAAATAAAGGGAAAAAATAAATAAATAAAAAAAAGACTGTATGACACAATGTTTTGAAACTTTATTATGTTAAAAAACCACTAAACATTAAATTCTATTTAGGATTTCTGCAGGATATCACATACATCACAAATGTCATGTTTCAGCATCGTGCAAATGGAGAATGGAGATTTTTTTTCTATCTAGAAATGTTGGTTCCTCTTCATCATTCTCCGGTTAAAGCAGATTATCTCGGCTCTCTATCTGCATGTCCTCCTGGATCCTCTCCATAGTGTCAGTCATCAGCTGGCAGGCCTTCTTGTGTTTAGGCCAGTGCTTCACCTGGCATGGTCTTCAGAGAAGAAAAACATGACAGAGGTCAAAGTAAATCAGTAGGAAAATTTGATTTTTTCCTTTACAAATGAAGACTGATCTGCATTTTTCACCCCCCAGGTCAATTTAATCACATTTTGATACACCACAGCTGTCAGACTCTTGAATAAGTTGAAAACAAAGCTTCAGTGCTTTCTGATTGGATGGAGAGTACCTGTAAAATAAGTTTTCAAGTCTTGAGGATTTTGACTAGGTCGTCTAATAGATGAATATGATTAAAACATTCGTTTTCAGCTCTGGATGTATGTTTATCAGCATTGTATTGTAGAAATGGCATTTTCTACGTCATTGTCAAATATTTTTCAGCCTGTAACAATTTTATTCTAAGGGATTGCACTCTGCATTTTATTCTTTTTTTTTTTTTTCCAAAACACAGCATGTAGCCTAAAAGTTTCAAGCTTGGTCTAATCAGATCAGAGCATTCCTATTGGTTGTCCTTTAAAATTATCAACACAAACTGCAAACAAGAACTTTTATGGCTCAACAGTAGCTACCTTCGTTACGCCATCCATTCTCCTCCAGTTGCCACCTCTAATCAACGCTCTCTTCACCAACCTATCTGTTTACGGTAGATGTATTTTTACGTCTTGTTAGGTTTGCAGTTTTTTCTGCTTTGCTCTTCCCATTTTGTCATCATACGACAATTGTTCATGAACAAACATAAACTGGTTTACATCTTTTCTCTAGATTAAAGTTTTCATGATAAAAAAAAACCCCACAGGTGTCAACAAGTGTTTTTTTTTCCAATTAAGAGCATATTGATGACATTCACACTGTACTGGAGATAATATGTCTTCTAACAAGCAGGAGAGAACAAAAAACATAAGAACATCTAAATTTATTGTGGGGAAAAACATTTTTTTTTGGCTGTAAGTATGTTGTTCCATGTTGTGTGTTTTTTGTCATACTGTCCTGACCATTTGTACTAAGTAAATACAATTTAGCTAGTTTCCCTGCAAATCACATGGTTAGCATGTGCTCATATTTATGTTTCCAGCTAGTGCATGGTGTTCTGTCATAGCTTACAGTACAACTGTCCCCAAACTGGAAAGCTACTTAAAATCCAGGAAAGTGTGGGTCCATTGCTGGATGGCGGGTCCTGGGGACATAAAGATTGTACAGCTGCAGATGATTTCTACAACTAAAAATATCTGATTAATGATGGTGGGAAAGGGGTGTTAGGTTATCTTTTAGACCCCTATCAATAAATAAAGTATTTAAGATGTCTCTGCTCTTAAAAAGCTGTTTTATTATTATTTCTTTTTTCCTGGTTTCAAAACTGGCTTTTGGGATGTCATGTTTGCTGTGTTAATTTTTAGGTGTTTAATAAAAGCAGTGCATAAAAAGGTCTGAGATTTAATAGTTTCATTTTGGGGTGTCTGTCTATGTGAACTTTATTTATTTATTTGCAAAGGAAATTTATTAGAAAGCAATAAAACTCTCACAATAACACCCTTACTGAGACAAAAAGAGAAGTTTATTTAGGGAAAAAAAATGTTTTTATGACAATTGTCTCTGAGAGAGAGTGTTCAGAGGTTTAGCACTAATTAGCGATGTGAAAAATCAGCCCTGTCTAATTATATTTAAAAGCTATAAGCAATTATCAGACAGGTGTATTTTTAATATGGTTGGTTTAGGTCCAATAATCTTGGAGAAGTTGGAAGAAAAGAAAAAAAAAGTGTTGCAACTAACCCCTGCTCTGTTTATCAAATAAATGAGTTTGAATGGAAACAGCTGTGTCAGATTTTGATAAGGATATTTAAATTGTATCGGAGCAAAGGATGCTAAATATTAATTCAGGCTTCATTTTTACAAATTTCTGTTCGTGATATCTTTTGCCAAACTAATGGGGAAGCCTTTCCATTAAAATTTTAGTAAAATACAGTAAAATTTTGGCGATGTAGCATGTAAAAATGTCAGTACTAGCCCTCCATATCTTACCTGTTACAGTACCACTCTATCTGGCATCTAGAGCATCTCTTTGAGGCCTCTTTACCACAGGATCCACACTTTGGTTTCTCTGGGAGCAAACGCTCCATGACATCCAAGTTGTATGTCTGGGCCAACCTTGATGAGAGATTTTTAAAGCACCAGTTTGTGAATTTCCCTCCTATATTCTTTCACATTGCACTCAGGTTAGTGTTTCAAGGATTACTTACCTCTGGGCCTGATGTTGTAAGTCACTGTCAGATGGGCTAAATGTTTCTTTGACCTGATATTTTGCTATCGCTTTCCACTTCCCAGAATTGTCTCTGACAATCTGGCTCCACATTTCTGGGATCTGAACATAAAGAACATCTGAGGGTGAGAGCACGGAAGAATGGAATGAAGGTACATGTGTCAAAGTGACTGTACCTGTTCTAGAATCAGCTCTTTCTTTGGTGGAGCCGGGTCTGTGACAGCAAGATGAGCCAGGAAGCGCTGGAGCTCAAGCAGGATCGGCAGCTGATCGATCAGCACGTCTGTCAAAAAACTCCTGAGCTGGGAACAGCACAGCAGCAATATTCAGACATCAGCACACCTCAGGTTGTAGGGATACTCAGGAGAATATCTGTGCTTGCAAAAGGATGCTCAAGGTTGTCTGGTTATGTAATTAGTGCTACAGGAAGAGGATGAGAAGCTCATAATAGGAGGAAGTAGCATTAAAAAATACATCTATGGGGACTGGATCTGTTTTCTACAAGGAAGGAGGTCAGATAACATGTAAAGGACAATAATCTGGAACAGTGGTACTTCCAAAACATTAGCTTAAGTCAAATAAAATCCTCTTACTCACAAAAACCCTTAAACACATAGAAACACATATAGTTAGTTTATATTTTTGTTTTAGTTTTTACCTTTAGAAGTTGGTTCTTGTTGAAATTGTTGAAGTCGTATTTTCTTTGACATTCTTCCTTTAGTATCAAACTGTACAGAGCCAGCCAGACCTGGCCATCAAGTTTAGTCATCTTCAAATGGTCCTCAGCAGGAATCCTCTGCCATTTGCCATTAATGTACTTTTCTACTCCACCTAGAGGGGGCAATAGAGAGCAGACAGGGCCTTACAAAAGCATTCAAATTCCTAAGGCTCATTTCTCCTCTTTTCCACAGTATTTGATTGGTATAGTTACAATTCATGACATATTATTGCGTTTTCATTTCGTACCTTATATAACTCATTATATACTACCATTACCTAAATGAAGATTTTGGACGCTCACTCTGAGAAACTTTATTGAGCGATGAGCAAACTTGTTCCAAGCAAAACTGCTTCAGGCACAGACAGTTACGGTTTATGTTGAAACTAGTGTTCTGCTTTTCTACATAAGCTTTACTTCCCATCTGTTGAACCTTCAATTACATTTGGTGGTCAAGTTAATAAACAACACACAGTAGATATAGTTACTAGAGGTGGTTTAAGCTTTAATACATTTGGAAAAATGTTTTCTCTGACTGAATTTTTATGTCGAAATTTAGTTTTATTGATTTCATTTTAGTCTTGAAAATATTAGCATATGCGTTTTTTTGAACTGTTGAATATTTCATTCTTAAATAGTAAATTAGATGTTTAGATCAGTTACCTGGTACTTAAACAAGCCTTTTCACTAAATAATTTTTATTGAATGGCAACTTTTTACTTAGACCAGAGTAAAATAAAAATAGTTTTGTCGTACTTGAGAGAAATTTCTGACAATTTTAGCCACTTCGAGATTCTATTTGATAAACAAACACAAGGCACGGTGTAATAATTATGTGAATAAGTGGAGGGAAAAGGTTTTTAGAAATAAAATCTGAGAGGTATAGCCTGTATGTGTATTCAGATCCCCCTTTTACTCTGCTACCTCAAGATAAAACCCAGCAGACCTACAGTACGTGGGATTGAATATCAGGATGGAACGGCTGCTCATCTAAGGCTTTATTGGTCTGTTAAAGAACATAAGTAAAAAAAAAAAAACAATAAAGTTGCAAAATGATTGCAAGATGAATATCTTTATGAAATCTTATAAATTCTAACAAAGGGTCATATTCCTATGTTTTAAGTGCAGGTATTAAGATCTACCGTTTACGCTCCGACTCCAGGGGCAGGACTCTATCAGCTGAACCAGCACACATGGCATATTGTGCGTACACAGCACACGATTGATGACACTGATGCTGAGAGGAAAGAGATGACACATTTGTTTGGTTTTTTGCATCCTGCTTGTTATCTATGAAACGTTAAAGGTTTCCATTCAATTTGAAAAACAGAAAATGTAACTTCAAAGCAATCCCTCCATCATGTACCTGTCAGAATGATCTGCGATGTAGCTCAGAACAGATACAGCTTTAAGAGAGATTTCAAACTCCAGTGCCGTATTCTGCGTCTGCAGCTCCTTCATTAAGCAGAAATAAAAGGATGTGACTCATATCCCTGGTTTGAATGATGCTGCAGTGTGGAAGAGATGCAAGAAAGCGAACAGAGGCATCAAAAGTTTACCTCTATAGGGGATAGCTGGTTCTGTCGATCATGAGCCGCAGCATGGCCCTTGGTTGCCTCACTGGCCAGCAGAGTGAGTTTACGATGGCAGTAATCCACCAAGTCAAGAAGAGAATCACCAGCTGCCTCACAGGAATCCTAAACTTCCAGAAACACAATACCTGATAGTTTGACCCGCAAAAGTATTCACACGTATGATATCATAATGCAGATTAAAAAAAGGGGTTTGGTCAAATCAAAGCTTGAGATGTTTAATGAAGAACAAATTCAAATAAAGGTTTTTCTATAAAGAACGCAAACACATGGCATTTCGTTCAGCTGTTAATTACTAAAATAGATTAAAAACAAACAGAGATAATTTTTCTTCCTCTTTTAAAATTATATTTAGTTTAACTGCCATATAAAAGCTTAAAAATACAATTATGGCTGGGAAGATAAAAAAAAAATTATGTAAAAAGTTGAAGGGTATGAACTAATAGGTAATGATAGCACATATCATTACATTTTCCTGATGCTGCAACCTTGCTTCCAAAGCAAATTAAAACATTTACAGGCAAACAAAGACTCAGGAGAGATTAGAAATATCGGAGAACCTACTGACCTTATGAAACAACACTGTTTCAAGCAGGTTGATGATTGTAGCCTCATGGTGGATCTAAGAGAGACAAAATGAAAATTCGATTAAATGTCATGACAAGCTGATCAGAGATGTTGCAGATCTCATTTTCACACGTACCAGCATGTAAAGATGAAAGGTGCACTTAGGGTTGAAGTCTTGCAGCTGGCATAGGATTGGGAACACTTTCTGCTTCCACACCTCCACAAGGATCATCTCATGGACCAGAACAGGTATCTGAGAAAAGAGGAATTGATCACTCACCCTGCTGTTAGTTATCACTTTGTAGATATAAGAGCTTGAGGTCACCTTTCCGAAGGACACCAGGAGCTCCTTGACAAACTCATCGTGCATGGCTGAAGCATTCAGTATGGCCTGCATATTTAGTCTCTCAATATGTTCATGTTGTCTGAACCACCTGTTAACACAGAAAAAGCTGTGAGAAAAGGTGAGGGTTTTTAAAAACAGCTACAATTTGAGGCCTTTTTCTATAATCAAACCCATACATAGGGAAAATATACCCACTCTTAACCCTAAAATTATAAAATGTTTCCCCAGTCTAGCTGCTCTCTGCCTTTGCTCAGACATCTTCCAGCTTGGCAGCAGTTGGAATAATTAAGTGAAATGTGCTCAAAGAGTAATGAAATTCAGAAAAACCTACTTTTAGTCCATGCTGGACTAATAAATGAGCCTCAAGAACCTGCTTTTTAACTGTCAATCCTGTATGAAAGGATTGGTAGTACTGTGTTGTTGAAGGTTTCTTTTTTTCAGTTATTGTGAGGAAGCCTTTTATTGCATGATTCATGCAATAAAATGACTTTCTGGTAGACTACTATACCAGTATCTCTGCTCCTTAATTAAACAACATGTTTGTATGAATATTACACAGTTTGTACTTGCTAAAACAGAAAAAGGCAGGGAAAAATCGTGAATTTAAACATGTTTTCTTAATTCAATCAGGTTTTCTTAACAAATCTTCCAGATTTGTTCCTTACATTTCCTCACATTTTCATTTTTTCCTTATATAGAAAGGCATCACAAGCATGACACTGCCAGCACAATGTTTTATAGGGGCTAGGGTGTGTTTTTAGTAGATTTTGCAATTTAAGTTTTCTGCCTCACAAATCATTTTAAATCAATCAATCAAAAGTCTTAGTTTTGGTCTCATTAAACTATTATATCTTTTGCGCTTATTACATGGCTTGTGGTAAACTACATAGAGGCCTTTATAGAACAACTTAATCTAGATCACAAACAGGTTATTCTACCTTTTTATTTAGGGATATCAGATCAAAGGCAGTTTCTTTAACTTTGCCTTATAATTTTTTTAATTCATATCACAGAAGGGATCTCTTTGTTCTCCCAGAAACGTTACATTAGCATACATTGGCTCATGCTAACGTTAGTTTGTGATCTTACCTCGCAGAACCCACTTCTTTGAGGGAGAAAATATCCAAACTTCGAATAATCCCCTCAGCTTCAACAGGCAGCACCACCGACGTATCCATTTCCACAGTCTTGATTATTTCAAACAATGTCGGGCAAATTAAAACATTTACAGCCGCTCTGGTGAACTTATTTGATAATGTCCAGCAGCCAGGGTGAGATATACACAGACAGTTGCCAAGGTAACCGTTTTACCTTGTAGTTTTCAGTAGTCGCCACTAAGGGGCGCCAGAGTTTGATGTAAAGTACCAAACAACGGGGAGGTTTTCTAACGTCGATTGACTGTTCCGTTGCTAAGCAACGCCGCCTTGGATTCCATTGTTTGTAGCCAATCACAGCGCCTGAGCTGAGACGAAGGTATAAGAAAGCCGAAATTCAAATCCCTGCTCGCAAAATATGCGATTAATAGGATTAAGTAAGAGTATCAATATATAAACGATATATTCTTATCAGCTCATATAAGCAATGAATCAAATTTAAGTCAATGATTGTGTGAAGACCTCTAAACGTATTGAGGTTTTTAGTGGCCAAAATTTTCTATTTTCTGATACCTGGAAAACAAGATGATTTGTACCTTGAAAGCAAAAAGTATATAAACAGTTCTGACATTTTAAATTTTAATTTAGTTCAGTGATTTTGTAGAAAGCATTTACTTACAAGTCTTCAGTAAAATATTTGTTATCCGTTTATGTTCACAGTTTAGTAAATGTTGAATTGAAACCTGAAATAACTGTAAAGTAATAAAAAAAAATGTAGGTTATAGCTTGTTCTCTCAAAATCCTAAAAAGACAGATCCTGTACAGTGTCATTACAAAAACAAAAAAAAAATATTTAAAGGTGAGATTTTAAATACTTATGAGAGGATTTTATGTGTTGCTATATTTTGTGTTGCTGCAAAGGTTAATGTTTCTTACTATTTACAGTAAATACAGGCAATGTAAGCAGGATATCCAACAGTGATGACTGTATTTGGTCTATTTATACAGTGAGCGTAAAACAGAAAAGAAACAACACAATAAATCAAAGCATGAAACAGTTTGAACATAATTTTAATTTATATTCTAGTTATCAACTGGACAGTCATTCCCTTGAATTAGAAATGAACACATAAATAATACTATAAAAAAAAGCAAAGGTCATTACAAAATACAGTTTGAGCTTTACTTCTTTTCATTCTTGACAGCTTTGGTTGAGGCTTCATGGAAGATGGCTTCATTTAAGGTCACTTCCAGCAGATCACTATGTTAGGGTCATTTTCCAAACGTTCATCCAGCTCCTGGTAAGTGATTCCTGTAAAATCAGCACAATTGAGGCAAACCTGTTTTACTCCAGCAAAGTTTGAGCTAAGATTGGCTGCTCAACGTCACATTTCTTAACAATTTATCACAAAAACACAAACCCGCATTTGTTTTTTATGCTAAAGTGCTAATGAAAACTTTAGAGTTGATTAGAACCGTTGCCTACTTTACTCCAAGTCACTTCAAAACACTTAACTACTCTGAGTTTAAGGCAACAAACTGATGATGGGTCATTTTTTTGTTTAAGATTTGCTGCTTTAGAATGGAAAACAGGGTTAGTTTTACGCCAGATGTAATAGACGCACAACTTAAAAAGGCTCTGCTATTGTCTTTAAGTCTGCATTTCATTTTAACAAACGGTTTAGCAGTCATAAAGATTTTTTTAGGGCAGATTTAAAATGAAAAAATATTTTATTCAGATTGGCTTCAACACTTTGGACCTCTCCCCGGTTCTTGGTTATCCTGTAGGTAAGTCAAGAGTTGCTCTCTTGGAGTAACTTTGGTTGATCAACTACCTCTGAGAGGATTTAGATATAAAGGCTCTCAAAACTTTCCAAATCTTATGAGACTGATTGATTTAAATGACTACATTTATTTAATAGGTTGATTTTAGTGACTATATGATTTAATAAGGGGACACAAAGGAGCTAGGTTTGAATGAAGCACTTTTTTCTCTCAATAAATAAAATGCTGAATGCTAGATATTAAAGGTAGTCAGAAGAATTATGAGTACCCGCTCCCTGTTTTATTTACGGTAACCCCCTCTGTTGGGTTTCAACAGACCAACACACTTTGGATTACTGTTCGATCTTTAATTAGCTTCGATTATATTTCTAGGTTCTTTCCTAATTCTGATGCGCCGTTGATGAACCATGTGCCTATTGGTCATGGAAATATGTAGTCAGTCATATAGTTCTATAAATAGTGTGCTGAAATTTTGCAAGGATTTATTTTTTAAAACAAGGAAGTGTGTAAATGTTCCATGAGTCTGAGAAAGAACCAAAAATTGCCTGAGTATAGGATGAGTTATTAGGATGATGCTAATGATGACTGATCTGTGCATTGTGAAATAACAAACCCAAAATGCTGCTTATAGAGAGCTTCTGAACGTGCCTGTTTTGCAGCAGATCTCATCGTAACTATGACAACCGGTGTAGAGGCGAGGCGGCCTGCTTCTCTCGTCCCGGACCACCTTCACAGGATACTTCTGAAGCCGTCGAATAAGAGACTTCATCAGCCCGAACTGGATTAGCCTCCTGAGTTTAAAACACAAAGCGAATCAGCAGCCAACTCAACATGCTTTGAGAGCTACTCTGACCAGACATTTCCAGAGAAGTTAAGTCATTTCAGGAAGTGAAACGATGAGCTACGCTGACCTCTCATCGACTCTTTGAAGCTGCTGCGAGTAGCGGGAGCAAAGGTCTCGCACCGTAGTTCCAGGACTGAGACCACAGTAGAGCTGAAACACATCTCTGAGGCTGGCCCGTTTCTGACCTGATGATGAGGCCAAAAATCAATCAACATCTGGAAATGAATCCATTAATTTCATTTAGTAGCCCTCTTCTCCCTTACCGTGCTTGGAGACGTAGCTGAGGCATTCGTCCTGAATGGACTTGTCATCAATGAGGCTCTGAACCTTCGGGGTTGTGCAGTAGACATTGGAGTACTAGAAGAAATAAATAACAGCCAGTGGAGATGACTATAGGTTTCCTAAAAAGATGTTAGCTTTTTTTTTTTTTTTACCCCATTTTTCTCATAATTAAGCTTTCCTTTAAATGCTTGGAAAGTGATAACACTTTATGTATACAAAAACATGTTAAATTGTTTCTCAATTTCGCCAAACAAACAACACTACAAACAACAACCCTTTAAATGAATCGAGCAGCGTAGATTTATAGCTATTCCATGATGTTGCTAATGCCTCAGCAAAAGCTTGATCACCTCCACCTGTGGCACTAAAAACGTTTGGATAATGAGGAGGCAATAGAAATTAAATTGGATTAAACCATTTAAATACAGTAATACAAATATTAACAATATTAAAACAATATTTAAAAAAACGTAGCTTTTTAAAAAAGGACAGATTTAATAAAAAAAACTAATCTGTTAATTAAATTAAAGAGAGCTGCACAGGATTATGCTCCGATTGCATCACACAGAAGTGACATCTGAGAAGTTGGGGAACTAGAAGCACTGAACTGAACCAAAGGTCAACCTGAATTTTGTCAGCATTAGAAAAAAACAAAACAGAAAATGTCCTCCATAAAGATAGAAAGCTTAAGAGACTGTTGGCTTCTTCTTTCCCTTTTATTCAATGTATCAGCTTTTAAATGAAAATTACTAACAACAAAGTTCTTCCAGCCAACGGCTCTAAAAGTAGAGAAAACTGTTAGAAATGCTAATTAAACTTAATTCTCCAAAATAATTCCCCTTTCTCAATAAAAGGTTATAAAATGATGTTACGATGTGGTGCAGATGTTCCTATATGACCCAGGATGATCAGGATCCTGGCTGCGGCTGGTAGATTTCTGAACACTAATCCCTGAAAGGCCTTGGTTCTAAAAGGATGTGGAGGCGAAACAAACTTTCAGAATGAACCGATTATGGATATAAATAGTGCAAAGCTTGATAAAGCTTTCCACAAACTTACATTTGTATCTTTTAGAAAATAAAAAAAAAACAACAGAGAATTTGAATCTTGAAAACAGTTTTTCCTCATGTGTTTAGAGGCTAATATCCTAGATTTTAAGGCTTGGGTTAATTTCAGGAACATTTTTAGATTTGTCAATGTGCTGTGAAATCAGTTCCGTACCTGAAATATCGACACCAAGGTCACCACACCGTAATACCTGGAAGAAAAAAGTAGATACAAATCTATCAGTTTTAATTGTTTGTCCTGGGATTATGAAATTTATTCAAAAGCAGCTATATGTTCAAAGAAATTCAACTGTATTCAAAATATGCTATGCTAACTCCTAAGAAGTGCAGTAGCATTGCTGATAAATGTGGACTGTGGGCTTAATAGTGTAAGGTAAGAGGGGCCGTGTTAGAGGAAAGTACTCACAGTAGGTTCTGCACCGCAATACGAACAAGATTCAGCTCAACGTCTGCTTCAGCAGATATTTTCTGAATGTGCCTGAATCCATCGATGTGAGGCAATATCTAAAAGAAACCAGAGGATGAACATAATCATCTGAAGCTCTGTGGCCTCATTTGTTTAAAGAGTCGAGAACTTTATCACGATTTGTGGGAGAACATGGTTTTTATTACTGTACAATAACACAGTAAAATCAGTAAAGAGAACCATAAGACAAGCTCGTTTCCAGGTATGAAAAGGTAAATGAGAAACGCCTCACTTCACCTTTTCCGACAAGATAACAAGCATTACGCGCTAATCTTTTTACCGCTGCTTCTAGGAAAACTAGGATATGTCTTATCATAACATCTGTTGATATTTGCAACCACGCAGTGCTCATCCTGCCTGTTGAGTGGTGAGGTCCCACTGAGATTTAATAAAAAGCTCTTTGCATTCAGTGAAGACAGGCACGTCATATTCCTGGACAGTGGGGGGGTCCCTTCGCTGCTGGATGAGCTTCAACTGGATGGTGTTGGAGTCGTCTGTGGGGAGAAAAGACAAAGCAAAATGAACACGTACAAAATAAAAAATAACCCTTACCAACCAGCAAGAACCCCCAAAACAAACATGTTAGATTCCACTATCCGTATTTGCCATTGATTTCCATTTATTTGTTTGGTTAAAGCAAGACCCTTACCCTAAGCCTACAAATCACCAACACATATCTAATCCTAAATTCAGCTCACATCTTAATCCTAAACCTAACCTAAGAAGTAGACTGTTCCCCACACGATACTGTAAGTCCCCACAAAGTAGCATAGTCCTGGGAAACTGGCCCCACAAGAAAACAAATACTTCAACACACACACCTCCCAGTTATGGGAGTTTTCAAAATAATGCTGTTAAGAGACACAAACACAGTTTTCTGAAAAAGTCTGGTAGGCTGAAAGTAAACCACCCACAGATTCAAACTGCATTTTCTTTAGAATTCATTCAAAATGAAAATAGGAACAAAGTTTTATCCTTTTTGAGCCTGTGCGTTACTTTCACATAGGAAGAACAGGGTGATACAGAGTTACGGTTTGGTTTAAATGATGAAAAGATAAATGTCCAACTAGTCCATTTCTCAGAGAACCACATCTCAGAGGACACTTTCACTTTTCTTCATGTTACAACCCCAAATTGAAATAAATCTAGAGATTTTATTGTATAGACTATCAGCTTTGAATTGTAAAGTAGAGAGAAAATCAGGTATGATTTATATTTTTTCCGCCCCAATCAGATCAAAGAAGTGTGCATTAAGAGATTTTTGCACTCTTTACTCTGATATTGTTTAAGCTTTGGCATAAAAAAAAGGAAGATCCTCAAAGAGCGGAGGAAAGCTGTGCTGTGCATCTTACTGCAGACGATAGTGAAGCTTCAACTCAAAATGACCCATTGTTTAATAAATGCTTTTGTTTTGATAACAAATACAGGGTAACTCTTAAGAAAGCAAAATGGTTACTGTAAAACGTGTGAACATTTGGCAAAGGTCCATCTTCCAGCATATTAAAAAAAACAACAAACACAACCAGGGCAAAAATAAAACAGGTTGTATCAGAGCATATATATGAGTTTGCAATGGGCCAGTCAAAGGACTGAACTGAATATAGTAGGATTGTTAGCGTCAAAGATCAACTATTATTATTTATAATAGTATATATATTATTTAACATATTCTTATAATCTGTTTCTCTCTTTTTTTACTTGCGTAAACAAAAATAATCTGTCTCAACAACTTTAAGCTTTCTTATTTACCTGCATATTTCTTGAATATATTGGTTTTCTTACAATGTAGATCTGGCATTAATTTCTCATTATTTCTTGTGTTCATATGTATCGGCATGGTTTCTGCTTCCCCCTGAAGAACAACTAAGGATGTTTCCGTTTTATTCTATTCTACATTCGAACTTTGCATTTTGTTGGTCCTCCACATAAAATCCCAATAAAAAAAAGTACAGTTTAAGATGGTAAAGCGAAAAAAAATGTGGAAAAGTTTAAGGGATATAAACACTTTTGGAAGAAAACGTTATATGTTTAGGAAGAAATGCTGATTTAAAATGTAAAACCACATAAGACGCCAGTATGTAGCCTTGAAGCTGTGAATCATTGCTCCATACATAAGAGTTTTAGTAGTAGTAATGATTATAATCATTATAAAGACTTTATAGGCAGGTTATAAAACCACCAACTCCAAGCTGTCATTACCTGGAGTGACTGCTGGGGGAAAAGTACACCCTTTTACTCATATGTTTTATTGTATCAGCACATAATAAAACTTATTAGACCTTATCTGGTTTCTAAAACAAAACAAATACACGACACATTACACCTTATCATTGCTGAACTTAAAGTATATTTGCTGAGGCCCATTTCCTGAAGTTTTCTCCAATGACTTTACATTCTGAATCAAACAGTATCTTGGGGGTTTTATCGTACAACGATGGAGCTATAAAAAAAACATAATATATTAACACAGCTCAGCCTAAGGCTGGGTAATATAGTATATTAAAAAAAACTCTAATTTCTTCATAACAAATTTGATGAATTGATTTTTACCCCCCAGGTTTAATAATAGACAATGACGGGAAATACTTTTAAAAAACTAGCTTTAATTTCTCTTCTGAGAGTTGATCTAAACTCAAAGTGCAGCTAAGGTAAAGCTTTGAAACATGCGTATAAAACAAGTTGGCAGGACCTGCAATTGTAAACAACGAAAACATGATATGCAAGATGTTTGCCACGAGTGGTATGGCGCAATGAGCTATTTCATCAGTTTTGACCAGAAATTTAAAACAAAAAAGTGTCTAACTTTTGTCACTACGAACTACGGAAGCTCAAGGAGTACACTAGAGTAAAAGAAATTCTGATTTTCCAAAAATTCAACTTCATAGAAAGCTAGTTTGCCAATCAATAAAACTGCTTTAGCCTTTAGGCACTGACAACCATCTTAATGTGTACTATAAATATTTCCAGCCTGTTTCATTATAAAATAAATGTTGGTTGAAAATCCTTTCAAGTCATCAGGAATAAGCCTCAGACAGAATATTCCTGTTTTGGGCGGCATAACGGATTCCTTCTGCTAAGATGTCTCCGAGTAAAGTAACAATAAAATGGTTTTTTTTATTGATTTTTCTGCACAATTTAAAAAACCAAAACCTGTTTCTTTGTTTACTGTGTAAGACATAAAACAAACAGTAAAACACAAAGTAATACCTATGGGTAACGTGCAGGCTCCTGTGGCATTAAGATCCTCTAACAACGTTGACATAATGGGTAAAAGTTTTTGCTTGCTCTCCTCCTTTGATATAAAGCCACTCTCCAACTGCAACAAAGCAGGGGGCAAGAAAACTATAACAACTTCTAGGTCATTTCACTATGAAAGTATGAAGGGCAAAAGATGATTACAGGAGCAAATAAATGTATTACTCCTCACCTCCAGAGTCGTGAGGTACCCAGCCAGCTTCTTGACAATGGGCTCTAGAGCACAGGTATTGGTCTGAGCATCACAGACGAAGCCGAGGTTAAAGAGGAGAGCGTTTCGGCTGTACTTTTTATGCTCGATGCATACAGGACAGCCAATTAACTTCTTCTCCATGGCAGTTCTACAAAAACATCAATTGTTCCATTGGAAAAGGAAACAAACCAAAACATTTAGAGAGTAAAAGAAAACGATTTCAGTGAGACAGTGTCTGATGACCTACACTGTTATTAATTTGTTTTGCAGCTCAGGCTTGGTGATGATGTAAACTTGAACTGTATCAAACAGCTCCCGTGAAATGTACTCCTCTGGGACCTGTCGGGACAGAACAGAGGAATTAATGTACACCACAATAGTTCGGTGTTAAATCTCTTCACATTTAAAAACAGTATAAAACTCACACAGGATGGGACAAAATTCATATCAAGGTCTACAGGAATGATTCACTTTGATCCTCATTCCCTTAATCAAATTTTCAGTCATGTACTTCTGTAAAAATGTACACTGTGCAGGAAATTGGAAATTATGATTATTTTTTTTATTGCATGGGAAAAAATGACTCTTGCTTTAAGCATCTTTAGGTTGATCACATCACAAGGAGCAGAAAAAAAGGAGATAATTAGCTGACATCAGTAAGTAAAAAAAAAAAAGAAGGTGCTGTCATCAGTTGCAAGGGTATCAACCTCACATGATTTGGTTAGAGTTAAAGTCTAATCACAATAGCTGATGATAAAAATGATCATTTTCAAATTTGAAACATTCCTGTTTCCTGTTTGGCTTTTGTTTCCCCTCAGATCAGTGATGGGCATAAGCATCAGGATAAATAGGGAACAGAAAAATGGTTTCAGTGCATTATTTCTGCTAGTGATGGCCTAATGGTTAGGGCATAGAGCTTTGAATCCTGAGGTTCTCAGTTCCCGTCCCACTCCGGCTCTCTGAGCAAGACCCTTAACCCCCGATTGCTCCCCGGCCGCCCCACAATGGCAGCCCACTGCTCCTCAAGGGGATGGGTTAAATGCAGAGGTAAATTTCTCCAATGTGAGATCAATAAAGTTAAATTATTATTATTAATACAGATATGATGATACTTTAATGTCTTTTATTATTACACAATAAGTCACATTTTCTGAAATCTTTACACTGATCTCACATACAACTCATAAAGCCACATAAAACATGAATGATCAACTGTTCATGAAGTTATTCGACTAAAAACGTTTATTTAAGAAGGTAAAACAAAACAAAAAACTGGGGACAGTCATCTTATAGTTTGTTATCACATTAAATGCATTTTTAGTGGAAGCTTAATTGTGGATGGTAAGGAATTGCAATAAAGAGCACATAAAACAGAAAAACTGGTGTTTTGCATTTATCCTAGAGGAAGCCAGAGCGGCAGCCTTTCCTCCTTTTTTTAGATTCAAACTTTGTTTAATAATAAAATGACTGAATCCCCTCATCTGCATGTTATTCAGCTGTAAACAGGCCTGGTAACGAATCACTTATTTGATTCAGGTGTGTTGGAGAAATGATGCATTTTAAAGTTGTGGGATCTTAGCGCTTCATGTCTGTCACCTCTGGGCTAGTAGCATTGACAGCATTGCTGGCTTACCTGGTATGTTATTTTTGGCCCAAGAGTGGGATGAAACTCACTGAAGAATATGCACTCTATTCGAGTGGCCATGACGAAAGTTGTTTTTGCTCCTTTCTAGATAAATTAAAATCATTACTAGATCCTCCCCCCACCCCCCGTTTGTTATGCTAGCTAGCTATCGCTAAAAAGAGCAAATCGGGATGTCTACAAATGATTACAAAAGTTCAAATGTTTTTACGATGTTTAAATATAAAAATACTATTCGAGAGGGTTTAATAGAATGTGTCATTGAAGAACGCTGCAGATTTTGAGGCACATCGTCCAAACTGACCAGCTCGAGTTGCAACAATACTGATGCGTTCACAGACCATCACGGAATTTACTGATACACACACTATAACCTAGGAAATGAGAGCACGTGAGCTCTAAACATTTGTGACATTACAACTACACATTTTGTGCGTTGAATATTATACTATTTATTATTCAAACGTTTTTATATATTTTTACCACAGGTCAGTCACGCGATAGGGTTAAAACGTCACAAATAAGATACGTAATTCTCAGTTAACGAGGGATTTTTTCATAAAATTACACCTAAAAGTCGTAATATATGAGTCTGGATACAATTTGAAATGTCTGCCCGCTATTTGACACCTAAATATAACAAAACAATTCATTAAAGGACCGATTTACCACATTCCTTAAAGGAGACACTGTTCTAAGGAGGCAGAGCGCATGCGCAGGATGCGTAGCTAGTAGAAGCGTGTTGCGTCATAGAGACGCAGATGTTCGACGTCATACGTAGGAACAGTAGCGTGTCCTGTCCACATGTAAATATTTCATTTAATGTTGCGAATAGAGTTTAAAACATCCCCTTTAGAGTTAAAATTGGTACATGAAATATCGCTTTAAGGGAGGAAGCTAAAAAATATTGATTTGTAGGGGTTTCTCTGTATCAACGGTCTATAGACGGTCTATTTAGGCATGTGGTGGAGAAGAACCCTCAGCAGAAGCTGCAGATGGTGTTTGGGATGCAGGCACAGTGGGGCAAAGGTAATGATGAGTTGTTTTCTGTATAAACTGCTCAGCAGAACATACTGAGAAAGCAGTGGAACCCAAATAAGAAGTCGTGTCAGCATTGTTGACAGTCGGTGTGAATGAGTCTAAAATAAGACGCAAAACAAATACGTACTTTTTATAGTTTCAGCAGCTAAGCAACTCAGGCAGAAAATTATATAAACAATCAACATTTTTTTAAAATTATTATTAACCTTTGTTAATGTGCAGTTCGTGCCTTTCTTAGTTTAAAAAGACCACATTTTTGCAGAAAAAGAACATTCCCAGCAGTAGTAAGCAATAACCATATAATAACTTACATTAGACAGCTCTTAAAAGTCCGAATAGTTGGACATAGGATATAATTTATATCTGTTTTAACAATAATGGAGAATTAGAGTAGAATAAGGTAGAGATAGAGGAATTAAAGGAAAAACATTTCAAAAATATTAGAAAACAATCATTTCTTATGAGGGATAAATAAGGTACCACCACATTAATATTAATCCCACCTAAAATGGCTACAATAACATACACACACACACACACACACA